AATGATCAGCCTACATTGACTGCTCCATCAGGAAGTGATTGATGACGATAAAGGGAGAAGGATGGACTGATATGGACTCGACCAGGGTTATTTTTAAAAAGATGGGAAGGACTTTGGCAACTCAAGTGAATGGCCAATAAGAGATTGCAATGAGGCAGTGATAGGAATTTCAATCTGAAACTAAAAATCCTTGATTACATAAAAACAACCATGGAGAGGAAATGTTGTGTGTGGGAGTGGGTTAGTGAAAGAAACTTCTAGAAAGTTCTGCTTACCCGTTTTTCTTTCTCTTTTGAGAGTGCCTTATGGCAGGATTCAAAAACACTGAAAGACTTTTCATCTGCATTTTTAGTAATGACGTGAAATTGGCCCGGCTGTGAAGTACGACTCCAAAATTCAGCGGTTATTATGTGTGAGTAGGTGCGTGTTTGTGGCAGTCGTCCACTTTCGTAGCACAGCATGAGAGCTTCACTTTGTCTTAATCCAGTTTGTGCTGACCTCCCTGTGGCATGAAAAGCTGTTGTTTGCCACAGAGGAAAGTAATCCAAACCATTAAAATCTAGCAGACTACCCTTAGGTTTACTGAAAGAAACTATTAAAGACGAGAATGAAAGGCATACAAGAAAAGGTACATGGAAGGAAACATGAAGAATTTCTCAGTCACCAAACTTAAGTAACAGATGTCTGCAACTGTTCACATTAGACCAAAATGTTTTCTAGGCTATAAAATGCAGGAGATTAAACATCACCAGAGAGAGTTTGCGTAACACTAACTCATTCTGTGAGAAAATTAAATGCTATCCAAATCTTATTCTTGTTAGGCTCTGCAATTGCTGTTACCAGAAATAAATTTACCCTGCGAGCACCAGTCTGGAAACCAGGAACATGGGGAAAAAAAATTTAATTGGACTTGTTGCACGCCAACTGTGATAAGACTTTCCAGTGTTATGGATATTGCCATATTAGTCATTGGTCAGGTGATATTCATAGTTATGGTGAGAACAGAAAAGGGATTAACGCTGGCCTTTTGGTTAGCCTTAGTTAGCCTTATTTTGAATACTGTATGTAAACTGTTGTGTGAGCAGGACAGTTTGAGATTCAGGTCAAAACACCTCCATTTATATAGTGCTTTATAAAATACAGATTGTTTTAAAGCAGCTTAAGAGTAATAAACAGGACAATAACAGAATCAATGATGCAAATTGCATCAACTATGAGACAAATTCAAATTCTGCTCTGAAGCATGCTCTGAAAAGACAGTAGTGTCTTATTCTGCTTCAGTGTTCGTTGGTGATATTCATAGTTATGGTGAGAACAGAAAAGGGATTAACGCTGGCCTTTTGGTTAGCCTTAGTTAGCCTTATTTTGAATACTGTATGTAAACTGTGTGAGCAGGACAGTTTGAGATTCAGGTCAAAACACCTTCATTTATATAGTGCTTTATAAAATACAGATTGTTTTAAAGCAGCTTAAGAGTAATAAACAGGACAATAACAGAATCAATGATGCAAATTGCATCAACTATGAGACAAATTCAAATTCTGCTCTGAAGCATGCTCTGAAAAGACAGTAGTGTCTTATTCTGCTTCAGTGTTCGTTCAGTTCAATGTAAAGTTAATGAATTATGAAACGAGTTTAATTCATCTATAATCAGCTCTATCCGCTGTAGTGTGGTTATTCAGCTGTATAGTGTCTTATTCTGCTTCAGTGTTCGTTCAGTTCAATGTAAAGTTAATGAATTATGAAACTAGTTTAATTCATCTATAATCAGCTCTATCCGCTGTAGTGTGGTTATTCAGCTGTAGAATCGGTTCACTGTAATTCATTTCGGTTCAATAACAGTGTCAATGTTGCAAAATTGGTCAATTATGAAACCAATTCAATTTAGCTATAAAGCAGCTCTACAATAGTGTCATTATTCAGCTGAATTCAGCTCTCATCCGATAGTGTCAGTGCAGTCGTCAAACTGATAATATTACTAAATATTAAGTGTCTTTGGGGAGTATCACACATCTTAAATTATAACTAACTATTAATAAAACTAACTGTTTGAACTTAGGCTAGGAGACCAGCTAAACCATCTTAAACCAGCTAAGACCAGAAAACCACCTTAGGCTGATTTATTTATTTTTTTTTAATATGTTTATTTGCAGAAATGTCAGAGGACCATCAGGTTGCCTCCCAAGAATGCAGTACAGCATCCATATCATTGTGTGTGTGTGTGTGTGTGTGTGTGTGTACCTGGTATTCCCCACATAATGAGGACCAAATGTCCCCACAAGTATAGTAACACCAGTAATTTTTGACCTCGTGGGGACATTGTTTTTTGGTCCCCATGAGGAAAACAGCTTAAAAATCGCATGATTTGCATGAAATGTTTTGAAAATCTAAAATAGCAGAAAGTTTTGTGTGAGGGGTAGGTTTAGGGCTAGGGTAAGGGGATAGAAAATACAGTTTGGACAGTATAAAAACCATTACACGTATGGAATGTCCCCACAAAAAATGGAAACGTGTGTGTGGCCCTTTGCCGAGGATGAACATGTAGGTGGAATACATAAGTCTTCCGGGGACACACACAAACCATTTGAGGCCCCTTTTCTTTAGTTTATAGCAAGCTGATAATCACAAGCAACTTGACGTGTCACGTTCCCCTTTGATTGACGAGTGGATCTGATGATGAAGACCCTGATCAACTCAAAGTAATCACAGTTAATTGGGTCTTTCGCTTCTGAGAACTCAATATTCAGTAAATCTGCTGGCCTCTTCCCTGGTCCTCAGCGTGTGAGTGGCAGCAGAATTATTGGAATCGTTCAGAAGGTTGGAAAGGGGTGGAACTAATCGGCCACAACTCATTCTTCCACAGCGCTCTTTCTCGTAAATCTGGAGTCCGATGATAGTTCAAAAACATTATGATGCTCTGGGATCTTGTGTCTTTGAAATTAGTGACTAATACCTGGTCATTAAAGACTTAAAAAAAATTAAAGTCTCGAATTAAAATTGCATTGGTAGATTAAATGTGCATTATCAAAATATTTTTATGTGACGTGTGTGTGTATGTATGTATGTATGTGTGTGTGTATGTGTATATGTATGTATGTATGTGTATGTATATATATATGTATATATACGCCCATACATGATATTGTATAAGCTGTTTTGCTTTTGAGGGTGGTATAACAATATTTTGATCATAGACCATGTTTCTTTTTTTTAGAAGCTTGCTCAAATAATATTTAAATATTTTAAATGTTCCACAACATGTAAAATACAAGTGACAATCCCAATAAAATAAAGACATAATTCTGAGGGGGGAAAAGTTGTGATTTCAAACAGTAAAGTCACAACTGTAAATTGTCATATTGGGGATTTTTATTTATTTTTTTAATCACACTTGTGAGATATAAAATTGCAGTTAGGACTAAGGAGACATAATGCTGCATTTTTGAGATGCAAATGTGAGATATAAACTCAAGTATAAAATATAAACTCAAGTATAAAATATAAAATCAAGTATAAAATATAAAATTGAGCAGAATATTTACAATAAATATAGGTGGAAATATGAGAAATAAAGTTGTATTTAATACAGTGTTCAATAATAAAATGAGGTTTCTTGTTTTACATCTTAATTAATTTCTCATCATGAGCCCAGAACACCTTCACAGTCGCACAGACATGCTTCTAATAGTATGGGGCCCTCTTTTGGTAATCACATGCAGTTGCAGTTAGAAATGTATTTTGCTACAACTTTCGTTCCTTCCCTTTAAATGAAACAAAGATTATTGGATTATTTTACAAGAAAATACTATTTAAGTCTTTCTAGTTCTGTGTTCAGTTCAGTGTGTTGCTTGCCGTTTCTTTGTATTTATTTGTGAAAGTTTCAAGCTATTTCTAAAGTGAAGATTGTTTCAAAGTAAATCTTACACCATTTTCTTTTTCACTGTACTGGGAGTGACATGTTTTACAGTGAGTAACTGAAATATTTATGAAAATATGATGCCTAGTTATGTTTGACAGATTTAATTCATAAATTTTGCTGAACATTTATTTGCATGGATACCTTTCCCGTTATATACAAAAACGACTATTTATTTTTAGATGGGGGTTTTTTAGTTTTTTTTTTTTGTTGTTGTTGTTTTTACATCTGATAAAACAAAAATAGAAAGAAAGAAAAGGAGTCTATGGATAGTAATAAAAATGATTTTATTCTTCATCTGTGAGATGACATTAGCAAAGTGTTGATAACACCTTTCTTTATTTGCTCGCATAAATAATAAAATGTGTAATGAAAGTTAGCGCTTTTGAATCAAAGCAAGGTTCAAAGTAAAGACATTTTAAAATTCCATGAAAGCAATCAAATAAAAGTAACCCTCTTTCTCCTGTACATCTCTTATTTTTTCCCAGGCCCCCATGGGTCACTTGCGCTCTTCCCTGCTTTCTCATCCCCAGTCTGCATTGTGTGGACCAGATTTTGGGTGGCACAGGTAGGCAAAGAACATCCTGGATCTCTTGCCCTGTGAAGTACAGATGAATATTAGCTTACATTTGGATGTCCTAGTTTTTCCAAGAAGAAATTGGGCTACAAAGAATCTTGTTTGCTTAAACTTATTGTACTCATGCACATTTCATAAACCCACTGAAATTCATAGTCAAAAACAAGTCAACAACACCTAAAAACAACCTATCCACATAAATCTATACACAAAAACATGATAATATGTCTATATTATTTGTTAGGCTGAAATGACAAAGGAAAACAAGCTTATAATTCCAGAGGATATTATGGGTTTCTGACTTTTAGTTCTTAATCATTTGAAAGCTATTTGCTAGAGTTTGAATTGTGATTGAACAATCTGTTGTCCGATATCAAAAAGAGAGAGAGTGGCTTAAAGACAGAGAATGACACAGGATGCATAGAGGTTTGTTTGGCATGTCATAAGCATGCATTATTCAGCAAATTAGAAATTCCAATAAAGAGAATTTGAAAAGGAAAAGACTTACGCGGGAAACTGTTCTGACTGGAATCGGTGACTGTAAAAAAAAAAGAAAAGCTATTAGGAATATATGTATAAGAAAATTGCTTGAATGTTGTAATATACTCTCTCAACGATATCTCTGTGAGAAAAGTGCTATTTTATTATTATAAACCTAGAATTCTGTTTTATTACACAAACACACACACATATATAAACCTGCTTATATTAAGAAATTCTGTATACAAAACACAAAAACACTGTATATGAAAAGCCTATCAGAGCGAAAAAAATTATCCTTTATACCGTTTTAAACAATCATTTAAGAACTTAAGTAAACAACTGCCAAAAATGTGTAAAATGGGCAACTTTTGGCCATTTTACTAAGGTCCAAGTAAGTATTCCTTTCCCACCAAAACCCATCATTCACACAGTTTCTGTTCTGTCAAGTGTGTGTGTGTGTGTGTGTGTGTGTGTGTGTGTATATACCTGGTCTGATTGGTATTATTATTATACCCTGTGATGTTCCTGTCTGTGACATTGGGAAACATGTAAGATCCATGGCTGAAAACAAATATATCACAGTTATGAAGTAGAATGTGGTCATTTTTATGGACAATGTTTCAAATATGCTTGAAAATATCTTACCTTGTGCTATTAAGAAAGGGAAACCCAAGAGCATAGCTGAGGATGAGAGAGCTGAGAGTCCAGACAAGAATCATGATGTTCATCACCAGCACTGACTTACTGAACAGCACAGTGAATGTGAATGAAGCAGATCAGAGCTGATTTAAGCTTATATACAATTCCCTGACTATGCAGAAGCACATTAGTCTTTTAATGATCTGTATATGTGTGTGGTTCCCACAGGTAGAAGTTGGTTTTGTCCTTGAATAAGACTGGGACAAACATTTAAAAGACAGACAGAGACGACTGATGAGACCTTATCAATGTTTCGTAGTATAAAGAGAGAAAATAAATCACCACGTATAATACATACATACATACATACGTACACAATTTGTTTTATATATTTTCATTCAGTTTGCATATAAAATAAAAGTTTCAGTTACACAATTATTATGCCCACTTTCTTTAGTTCCTTACAGACTTGTCACTCTTGCCATGCACTATAAGTAACTGGCATACTTCTGAAAATATATCAACTATGTATGACAGATTTTGAGGTACTTAGGGGGTTGTAGTTGTTAATGAAACCTATATTGGGTTACTGGGTTAATTTTTTGCCAGTTATTTTTAGTCCTGTTTTTATGTATGATAAAACGGGCAACATATTTGTTATATTTTGATAATATTTTATCTTCAAATGAAAGAAAAGGAGTCAATGGATGGAAATAAGAATTTTTATTCTTCGTTAGTGTGGAGAGATGACATTAACAATGTGTTGAAAACATATTTCTATAGTTGCTCTTTTTGCATGAATAATAAAATGTATAATAAAAGTTACCAAGGCTCAAAGGAAAGACATTTGACAAATAAACGTGTCTGAAAACAATCAAATAAGTAACCCTCTTTCTCCTCTTCATCTCTTATTTTTTCCCAGGCCCCCAAGCGTCACTTGCGCTCTTCCCTGCCTTCTCATCCCCAGTCTGCATGCGGTTGGCCAGATTTTGGGTGGCACAGGTAGCCAAAGGACATCCTGGATCTCTTGCCCTGTGAAGTACAGATGAATATTAACTTACATTTGGATGCCATAGTTTTTCCTAGAAGAAACTGAGCTACTCATGTGAATGTGATTAACTCGTTCATAAATAGGTCAAATTCAATAGTGCTAATTATAATTTCTCACCATTTGGGTATGTCGAAACTCTGCCTAAAAAGAAAGAAAGAAACAAACAGAAAAAGTTCAATACTACTAGCACATCTGTATAACAAACAACATAACCAAATAGACAAATTAGGACGCACAAATACATGACTTGGTATCATTTAGATAGACTTACAATGCTTTGTTTAAATGTTGTTCCAATGATTTAGCATGAAATAATACAAGTAAACAAAAGCTGGGTTTTGTTTCTGGGTGCTTTATTTGCAGTCTTAGAATGTGATGTTGTGTGCTGTATGTAAATATATCTTTGCATAAAATGCTAAAAAAAAAAAAAAGACACACTGTCATTACATTTTAAGACAAATCCATTCACTTAAAACACGATTCAGTTCAAGAGTTATTTATTATAAAAATATCACCGAAAGCAAAAAGTTTGAATTGTGACTGAACAAGCTGTTTGTCATAAAAGTCCACTGAGGGCATGCTGAAGTGAACTCAAGTGCAGTTTTTTTTTATTAACAAATGTGAACTATAAATATGCAATAAACAAAGACGTGACACTGTTGTTTGTGTGTCAAAAAAGAGAGGTAGAGAATGACCCAGGATGCATAGAGGTTTGTCTGAAATGTCATAAGCAGCACATGCATTATTTAAAAAAAGCAATTCCAATGGAGAGAATTTAAAAAGAAAATGACTTACATGACTTTAATAAGATTATTTTCTTGTTGTAATTCATGTCTGTCAGAAAAGGCAAATTATTAGTGATAAGAGAGTATTTATCTTGGAAAGTTTCAGTATGAAAAAAACAGCAATTTATCAATATGTAAAATGCATACTTTTTTTCTGATGAACAGCAGTAAATAACTATAAATGTTAGCCTAATGATAACAGTGACAGAGGAAACACTGTTTATTAAAAGAGTAGATTTCATAATGTTTTATGAATAAATGAAGAACTTGTTCTTACCTGATTTAAGTTTAAAAAAAAAGAGCCCAAAATGCATATTCGCATCCAAAGTCAGAGTATGTTACTATTGCTTTCCCACCCCAGTCTGTCAACATTATTCACGCTGTTTTATTTCATCATCAAGCGTGTGTGTGTGTATATATATATACCTTGTCTGATTGCTCTTATTATACTCTGTGAAGTTCCCCTCTGTGACATTGAGAAAAGTCTCCATATGGGATCCACTGCTGAAAATGAATGCATCACAAGTGTGAAGTAGAATATCGTCATTTTTGTGGACAATGTTTCAAATATGCTTGAAAATATCTTACCTTGTGCTATTAAGAAAGGGAAACCCAAGCGCATAGCTGAGGATGAGAGAGCTGAGAGTCCAGACAAGAAACATGCTGTCCAGCAGAGTGAATGTGAACGAAGCAGATATATTTTTAATTCTCTGAGGTTTCAAAAGCTCTTTAAATATGTTAGGCATCTGTACATGTGTGTGATTCCCACAGGCAGGAGTTGGTTTTGTCCTCGAATAAGACAGGGACAAACATTTAAAAGACAGACAGGGACGATTGATGAGACCTTATCAATGTTTTGCAGTATAAAGAGAGAAAATAAGTCACCACGTATAATAAATATTAAATAAATCAATTCCAAGAGTCACAATGTTGGACAATAATCATGGGAACACGTCTGATTTTTGTCTGAAGTGTGTGTGGATATTCGGTTTCAGTTTACTTAAAAGGTCTATCAACAAAGTTTGTTTTTAACGTTGTATATTGATAAGGAACATTAGGTCCATGGACAGCCTATTTTTTGTTAAAGTCAAACCACGCTACATAACTGCCTTAATTGATCTATCATCAGTTGTTTCAGGGCTGTAGATACATCAGTTTTTTGGAGTTTCAATGGTATTTAATGTAAAATGTCCACAAGACAGGGATTCAACAAAGGCAGACTTATTTCTTTTTATTCTTAATAAGGTGTGGAAGAGTGAGCAGGAAGAAATTGTAAATTAGGAGGTTCTTCCTTTGTGGGCTACTGAGGCCTGCAGCTGAGGCTCTCTGTTAGACAGGAGAAGGTGCACCTACTGTACATACTTCCTGATTGAATATACAGTTTGTGTGCACTGCAAACATGGACAACAATGCATTTGGGTGTTGTAATGTGTTTGTTTTGGGGCCAAAATTAAACCACAGAGCCATGAAAGGCTGATCTCCAGTTATCAGAAGCGTTTATTTATCTCCCCCACAATCTTTTTATTTCCTACTGTTGACACTGTGAGTAACTGACACATTTATGAAACTATGTGAGTTTTGTATGTTTCTTCATCAAAATAAAGAAAGGAATAAATGTATGGTAAAATAAATGATCAATGGAAAGATATCTTACAAGTAAATGTGTCATGAAAGCAATCAAATAAAAGTAACCTTTATTCTCCTATACATCTCTTATTTTTTCCCAGGCCCCCATGCATCACTTGCGCTCTCCCCTGCTTTCTCATCCCCGGTCTGCATCCTGTGGACCAGATTTTGTGTGACACAGGTAGCCAAAAAGCATCCTGGACCTGACCCCCTGTGAAGTACAGATGAATATTAGCTTACAGTTTGGATGCCACAGTTATTCCTAGAAAAAATTGGGCTACTCATTAATGCGTTTATGAACAGGCAAATTCATATTTGAATGTTATAATGTTAATTATAAATTCTCAGTTGATTAACTCATCAATTGATCTCAAAAGAAACAAACAAACAAAAACAGGTCAATATGAAAAGCATAACAAACATCCAAACCACAAAAATGTGTTTTACTATCATTGGGATGCACTCGGAATTGTTTAGTATGTTGAATTCTTTAATCGCATGTTGTTTTAATGATTCAGCATTAAATAATATAAGTAAACAAAAGTGCATCTGGGTACTTTTTCAGTCTGAGAATGTGAGACAATGTTGTACATGTCAAAATCTTTACAAAAAAAAAAAGATAAAATAGGCACAAAAGTATTTTATATTTTAAGCATTGTGACATTGGTTTACTTTAAAAAAGAAAGAAAGACTGCAGCATCACATTTACAATGAGAATTTGAACTTGTTTCAACACCAACATTACAGTCCTTGAATAAGACAGGGACACACATTTAAAAGACAGACAGAGACGATTGATGAGACCTTATCAATGTTTTGTAGTATAAAGAGAGACAATAATTTACAACAAATAAATAAATTCCAAAAGTCACAATGTTGGACAATAATCATGGGAAAATGTCAGATTTTTGTCTGACGTGTGTGTGGATATTCTTTTACTTAACAGGTCTATCAACAAAGTTTGTTTTTAACATTTTATATTGAGAAAGAACATTGTGTCAGCCATATCTTTTGTTAACATCAAACCAAGCTATAACTGGCTTAATTGATCTATTATCAGTTGTTTCAGGGCTGTAGATACATGAGATTGTATGAGTTTCAATAGCCTTTTATATATGAATGACCCTTTTTACAGCACTGGGGATGTGATGTTTTCATAATCAGTTCTCATATATCTCCTATGATTACTGGACAACATAATGTTACTACACATAATCAAAAAATTAGATGATATTTGAAAACAGCTTCGAAAGGTTGAACCTTTTAGACGACAGATGACAATGACAAAAAGTGCATTTATAGCACATTATACAGTATTACAATTAGATGTCCAGTTATAATTTATAGTTATTTATAGATTCAATGAGGAATGTATGTTAGCTTCTGCAACCCATTATTATGAGCTTAGAGGTGTGTGGGGTACTGTACTGTGCTAAAGTAATCTTGTAAAATCCAAATAGCTTTACAGATCTTTATTGGCAAGGGTTTAAATAACGTTTTTTTTTTTCATGCTTGTTCAATGAACCATAAGCAATTATTGCATATGCGCCTGTGAAACAAGAGTAAACCGTTTTTTATGTCTCAGTTGTTGGACTTTTTATGTTTATGTTTATGCATGTTAAGTAATTCGCTGGAAATAAAAGCTGTTGAATGTGAGAGGATGTTTCTTTTTTTCTGAGCTGAGTTGAAATATTGTGTAAATTCATTATTAATAACAAATATTTAGAAAAAAAAACATGTCAATAAAATACATGTTCCTTAATAAAATAAAGGAAAGACACTATAGGTTAAAAAAAAATCTGCAAATTAATCAGCTTCCTATAAACATGCATGAATAAAACTTAGCACATATGTTTTCACTTATGGATTTGTTATATGGTTTTGCAATCCAAAACGAAAGACAAAGAAATTTAATCTAAATAGTCTTTAATCCACAATACGCAGGAACACATACTCAAACCACACAATAACCAACTGCAAAATGAGAAAGAAAGAAAAAAAAAACAGGATACACATATCATTAGTAATTAAGGAAACAGGAACTAAACTGAAGGAAACACGGGAACAAGAACAAGAACTTAATGAAGTTAAAAGTGACACTGAAAGTTTACTGAATTTAGGCCTACATATTTCCTGATTTATTATACAACATAGATAACAATGAGTATTCCATTCTATATTGTTGCATTTCTGTATTGTTATGTGTGTTTTTGAGCCAACTTGTAATATAAAAAATGTTTTATTACAGAAAAATCACTTGGAACTTTTTTTACAGAAATATCTCATATTTCATAGAAATATTATTATTTTCTTTTTACCATATTCACCCGCAGTGCCTCGCCATCAGGTGCAACAACATTTACAGTAAGACCCAATTACCCTGCTTATAAAATCAGTCATTTAAAAATATAAAAATTGCAATATAATATGCTGTTCCATTTTCCATATAATGGGTAAGGTTTCACTAAAAATGATTAAAAACAAATGTCTGCTAGACTGGACAGAAATAAATAGCAGGATTTCAACTATAATTATTCTCATCGAAATAAAAACAGAAACATCGCAACACTACTGTAAGAGAATAAGATTCTGAGTGTATCTTGCCTAAACACAACATGCTTAAATAAATCCTGTTTTCACAGAAGATTACAGCAAGCCTAAGATATCGGAGCACATCACTTCACTGTATTGCATTAGTGCAACTTCCTCTTATAGTCAGTCAAAACACCACTGGATCTTTGATCACTCGGGATCATGCTTCACTTCTTGCCAATTCCCATTGGATCACTGGTCATGTCCCCAGCAATCTCATTACCAGCCTGTAGCTTTGACCCCAGGTTCCACAAGGAGCAAGTGGACAGAAAACAACCCCTTCGGCTGAAAAGACAGAGAATTTCAGGCACCAAGAAATACTGAATGAGAATTTAAAATGGAATATTCTGTCCTTTTGTCAGTAAGGAAATGATTTAAAGGCCATTTGCTGTAATACGAGTCATGCATCTGGTGTGTGTCAAAAAGAATGAAGGTGATGCAGAGAATGACACGGGAATAACGAGACAAGAAGTCATTTGTTCTTCTTTATGGTGACATTTCACTAGTCATTTAAGATTTGATTTCTGTGTGAAAGCGATTAATGAAAGCTGTCATGAATGCATCCATTTTAATTTGGCATTTTAGATTAGTGTGGTCTAACAGAGGCCAAAAACACAGTATAATTATCGATGTGATTATGAACAAAACAAGCATTCTTTGTGCAATTTGTCTTTATGCTATGTCAGAAGGGCAGCATACATTAATGAACTAATTAATACACTACTATGTAAAGAATGATTCCATTATTTTAAATGCAAATGTTAACACCTTTAACTAACACACTTTCTTTTTTAAATACAAGGAAAACTATTGTTATATGAGCTACCAGTTAAAAGTTTACCCATTATCACATACAAATATATAATATAATATAATATAATATAATATAATAAATATAATATATAATATAATATAATATTTGTATTGCATGCATTATTTAAAAAATAAAAAATAAATGCATGACTTACGCGGAAGGCCTTTTTCGGATCCTAATTTCAGATACATAGGAAAAGTCAAGACATTTGGGTTAGATGAGAGAATTGGTTTAGCATTCTGTTGGACTCTATGGGATTCCAAATTTTCTATACCTGTTCGTCAGATTGGTCTTAATATACTCTGTGGAGTTGCTCTCTGTGACATTTGGAAAAGTCTCCATGTGAGATACACTGTTGAAAAGAATACATTTACATTTATTTTTGTGGAAAAATACACATTAACTCATAGGTATGCATGAAAATATCTTACCTTGTGCTATTAAGCATGGGAAACCCAAGAGTGTAGCTGAGGATCAGAAAGCTGAGAGTCCAGACAAGAATCATGATGTTCATCACCAGCACTGACTTACTGAACAACACAGTGAATGTGAATGAAGCAGATCAGAGCTGATTTAAGCTTATATACAATTCCCTGACTATTCAAAAGCTCTTTCATCTTTTAGGGATCTGAGTTGTGTGTGATTCCCACAAGCCGGAGTACGTTTTGTCCTTGAATGAGACAGGGACAGAAGAGTGATGGGACCTTGTCAATGTTCTGAAAACATTTGGGAGCTGATAGTAATTGTGTAAGAAACCACAGAAAGATGAATCACTCCCTCTCACAGTGTTTGGACATTCTTTGAACTACAGTAAACTTAGATATATCAGTTTTTAGGTTTCAGTTAGACTTCCGTGTGCGTGACAACACAGTGCTAATATGATTTCCAGGAACTAGCACCAAAGCAGTTCATTTCTCATTCCTTATGATTTTTACCTCGTGTGGTTTTTACACATGGTTGATTATCCTAATGTGTATCTTACTTTTTTGCAAGAGCATGTATTTAGAATATTAAGCCAAACAAAATATATTTCACCTTGATTGAACTTTTCACCTTGGTTTCTTCTAATCCATGTGGTATAATTCGCACACAAAAAAAAATTCTATTATCGTTTAATATTTATAAGTATTTTGATGTACTTTTTGGCTTTTTAAATATTTGTTATTGTATACTAATATACTGTAAAATAATATATATTTTTTTAGACATCAGATATTCATCACACAAAAGCAAAAGAGTGTCAGACTCCATTTCTACAAAAAAAAAAAAAATTCTATTATCGTTTAATATTTATAAGTATTTTGATGTACTTTTTGGCTTTTTAAATATTTGTTATTGTATACTAATATACTGTAAAATAATATATATTTTTTTAGACATCAGATATTCATCACACAAAAGCAAAAGAGTGTCAGACTCCATTTCTTTTAATAAACTGCAAGTCACAGTTCTGAAGACATAAGTTAACACATTTAATTACATCACATCATGTAGCCTAAAGCTCTTTGCAGTGCTCAAAGTGACAGCCAATACAATGACAAAATGTGCATTTATAGCACATCATATTACAGTTACAGATAGCATTTTAAGTTATTTGATACCGATTTAAATGGGGAACATTGGCTTTGCAGTCCAATATTGTCAGCTTTGAGATGAAAGAACTGAAATATTAATGGTATAGACAGTACAATATAATAAATTCTTTTAACTTAATTTCTTGTGGTATATAATGTCTGTTGCACAAGGGGTAAAATAACACATATCCTTTTTTTTGCCATTTTTATATATAATACAATTAATTATATTATATTATATACATTTAAACAATTATTATTAGGAGCACTGACAAACAATTTCCTCTTCTTCAAACTTGGGAATGTCAAAAATCACAGAACATCACATTAACAACACATCATTATTTAATCTTTATAATACGGGTTCCAGCTTCAACAAGACGGATGAGATCAAGAAGTAAAACTCGTTTACTCTCACACCTGCCCAGGCCAGACCGTGACCCCACAGGGGTATCGGCTTATCGGAAGTCCTCTGCTGAAAACATGCCCTTGGCCCGTCTCAGGATGGAATCTTTGGAGGCGTCATACGGATGCTCTTTTGAAGGAATCTCCAGAACGGCCGGGATTGACTCCATGTGGGCATCTATAGCATGACGAATCATCTCTGCGATGAACTGGTTGATGAGGATGATGCCAATGTCACTGCGAGCCAGGAAACTCCTGGAAATGAAGAACAGATATAACTGATGTTAAAATTCAAGTAACAAAAATGACATGTGTATTATAAATTATGCAAACTTCTATTCTGAGTAAAAATTTGATTATTTGAAAACTATAAAATGATAAAGTGATAGATAGATAGATAGATTTATGTGTGATACACGTTATCACAATGATAAACCTTAATATAACCTTAAGATTTCATATATTTATGATTGCACAATTATTTGGATTGTAATATATGATCTTAAATCATTTAAGCGTTTCTAATCCTGTCTCTTACTTGAAGGTCTCCTCTATCTCTGTGATGCTAGTGTCCTTTTCCACCACCAAGAAATTTGGTTTTCGGTTTTTGTTCAGTTCTCCGATCCCTCCGAGGAGGAATCCGGTACATGTGTCTTCGTCCCCTATAACGGCGATTAATTTCCCCCGTCCAGGCATTTTGGCTTTTGCTTATATTTGCTCAAATGGCAGACAGAATGGATGAAATGTTTTTCCGTCCTGCTGGATCATATGCTTTAATCAGCTGACTACAGCACTTCCGCTTTGACTAAACCGTTCACGCTTTATGTAGACAGCTGATCTGGGGTCTGTGCTGCTCGTGTTAATGTGGCGATTATGACAGGAAATCTGATCCTGAATCAGATTAAGTGCGTTAACAGCCTCAACACTGGCAGAATTCTGTAACTATAAAACATATTCTAATCATTTTGCGGATTTCATCACGTGTTGTGGCATAAAAACCTAAGTGATGTCAAATTTATAGGAAAATCCATCGACCTTGTGATATGACGTTATAAACACGCGACGCTTGCTGGTCAGTCACGTGAGGCGTGGTGTGAAGGAAGACAACAGTGTAAATTCATCTGCACTGCCTAAAAATGGTACGTTAAAGTTACATTTAATTTTCACTTTGGGGGGGCATTTGTCGAGCTTAATGTTTCTTTTGATGAAAAGGTTTTGATGTGGTGTGCGTATGCGTATGGAAAAGTGATACAGATTATAAATAATGTGATAAAAAGCAGTAGGCTATAAGAAACTATTAGCTAGATGAGCTCTGCTAATGTTTATTTCCTGCATTTTCTTGTGTTGAATTGCAGACCACCGCTCTGACCCAAGGTTTAGAGAGAATACCCGATCAGATTGGGTATTTGGTTATTAGTGAGGAAGGTGTACTTGCGGTAAGTTATTAAACACTTAATATGCAGTAAAGTTCATTATATATTGCAACCTCTTGACATAATGAGATGAAATGTGTTGAAAAAGAATCTTGAGTTTTGAAGAGGAAATTCCATTAGAATTGACCAAACAATTCATTTTAATATAATATACTTATGTCAAATAAAAATACAAGTGTGTGTGTATATATATATATATATATATACTGTTATATGATGAGTTCAGATGTAAAAGCCTCCAAGTGCCGTCTGAAATTTTCATCTAAAATGAGCATTTTTATCAGGCTCTTATGTTTAGGTTTGGTGATTTTACTCTAATGGCAATGTTTAGGTCCTTTTCTATGCAATTAAAGTGAAATAACTGAACATAAATATAGGAGCCTGATAAAAATGCTCATTTTAGAAGAAAATTTCAGACGGCACTTAGAGGCTTTTGCGTCTGAACTCTTCATAGATGGGTAGATATACAGATGATAAATCCTGTCCTGTTACAGTCCGCAGGAGAGCTGGAGAATGACGAGCACACAGCAGGAGTGATCATGCAGATGGTCAGAACAGCTTGTCGTTTCAGATTGCATGGGACAGCTGAGCCCCCTTTCAAACGCATGTCAGGTAATAAACATGCATATTTTCACCTAGATGAATCTCTTAAAGCCTGTCAGAAATGTGTTTGTTTAGAATGTTTCACCCTAATATCAAGAGAAAATTAAGAAATTATATATTTAGCATTATTTTTATTATACAATTTCCCCTCAACTGTCATTACTATAGTGTGTGTGTGTGTGTGTACGCCAGCGCTCATTCAGATTTAAACTTAACGCAGATTGTCAGGGCGGACCTTTATGCAAAAATGGAAATGCTTGCGTTAATTTGTTACATTTACAGTTAAGCATATGACCGTAAACTGAAAGTTTTTGCCCTGAGGACGCACACGCATCTGTCAAACTGCCTGACAGGCCAAGCCATAAGCTAATGCATTAAGTTAGTTTAAAGCTTAAAATAAATAATTCTCATGTTTTGGGCAGCTTGGTTCACGTACTTCTCCCGCAGCATCTCATTCTGTTTCCTCCACTATTTTTAGATGCATTTTGTAATTCAGTGCTGTTATTTGACGCGACCGGCTGAAGTTGGACGTGCACTGTGGGCAGACCCGACTAATCGATATCGAGAATCGTTGTCGATTATTTTCATTATCGATTAGTTGTTGCAGCCCTAAATCTATCACTTAGTAAATATCCTAATGTTATTTTGTGTTTTTTGTTTACAGTGATGTTCGAAGACTACGTTTATGCTGTGACCATCTCTGGACAGAAAGTTTTTGTAGTCAAAAGGCAGAACAACCAGCGGGAACCTGTTATTGTGTAGTAAAGAGGACAGTATGGACTGATCTTACCCATTATTACAAGCTCAAAATGGTGCCCTCACATTGAAATGACCCAGCCATTACAACTATCTGATGTTTAGCACAATCACAATCAATTTCTTTTGTAAAGACTTTATTACGCCGATTTGGGGGTGGTGTCAGGTGTATTTGACCTGAACCAGAGTAAGTTAATGTGTTTTTCTTGTATGATTATAATGTTACAAACTGGTTAAGGGATTTATCTTATGTCTTTTAATGCAGGAGTAAATGCTATCAATATTTTAGCCCCATTTATGCTTGAGTGGTCACATTTAAGGTATTACTGGAGTTCATTATATGTGTGTATTTACATTTAACCCATACAGTCCATTAACCTATGATTTCCTCATACAAATACATGACCTTAAGGACCTGCTTATCACATCCTATTTTTATGCAGGAATTATAATAGACTCGAATTATGTATACAAACACATGCATTAGCCACGGAAGCAGTTTTTCTTCAACAATGTTACACTGGGTGTTATAATTTCATTATAAATTTCATATTCCAGTCTTAACGTAAAGTGTGAAACCTTGTAGTAAGGTGTTATAATATGAAGTTATTTTCCTTGGGATCTGTGAAAGCAGAAATTTAAGTGCACTGAATGCATCTTGCAGTCTATTTCCAAACAGGCTTGAAATTGCATCTTTGAATAATTGCATTAACAATAATATATGAAATAAAGTACTATGCATATTTTACTTTCTTTTTTGGTTGTAGAAAATAAGCATTGAATTGTGGATACATACAATAAATGTTTAATAATAAAATATTGTACTATAACCTTTTTTTTGAAGCTTAAACTGTATGTCCGTCATGGTCTTACCATGCATAAAGTAAAAAAAAAATATATATATATATATATACACTGTCAAAAACTATTTTTACATTTTATACTGAATTCTTAAAGTAATATATATATATATATATATATGTTTAAATGATTCCACTCGTGAGCATAATGTAGAACAAGATTAGTTTTTCTTTTACAAATTTTACTGAATTGACAAAAGTGCTTTTGTCTGTCATAATCTTGACTGAATGACTGTTACTGCATATTAAAATGTAATAGTCATTCATACCCTAGAAGAAAACTTGTTTTCCTGTTCGTAGTCTGGAATGATATTCTTTATGAGAGTAATTTTGGAAATTACTAATCTTACTCAGTTTCACAATTCCTTTATGCTTTTATCCCCGTCTACCCCTAAAAAATACAATACTTACCTTCATCTTTCATCCTTGTTTTTTTTTTTTTTATAAATTTTTTATGGTTTTGACATTGTTTAATATACAGAATAAAACAGACAAACAATCAGCTTTGCAAATGTACCATGTATAATATGGAGTAATCTTCTAACATTATCAGATGCTATCTTTCATCCTTGTTTTATAGCAAAACATACTTATACTATACAGGGTTAAATGACTAATAAGATGATGAAGCTTTAAAAAATATATATATGGAATGGGTGACAAAGGAGAAGAAATTGGGATGGAAAATATGGAAAAGTCCGTTAGAACAGGAACTGATTACAAAGTCCTGAATATGAAGTTGAAACAAGCAAAGAGCATTTCGACATGTCCTGTACTGCAACACACGTCTGGCATCTCATATGTTATTTATTTGCATCTGATTTCTGCTCGAGCACTTTTGAGCAATTCTCTGTTCTTAATAGTTTGATTGTTTTTTATATAACCAATTCAGAGGCCTAGTTTGTCTGTCAGGTCACTCACTGTCATGGCATTGGGAAGGACCTGTTTGTTAGCAAACACTAGCAACACTGCCTCTCTCAGTTCAACCTCCTGTAGCTGAATAAAACCAAAGGGAGATGCTTTTCGAAACAGTGCCACTGTGCACAGTTTACTAGAAAGTATCAGACGTAATAACACATCACTCCTGAAGTTTTAGAGAGTTTACATGGCCTGTGTCATGGGTTTTTGAGAGGGCACACGAGAGTGCAAGGTTGTCCACAGAAAAATAGTGTAAAAAAATATTTTTAAAATTATTTACTTTATAATTTTTATAAAGTAAACATATCATGGTTTAGAAAAATGTTAAAGTGCGAGTATAAAATGATACAACAGGCTTTTGAGGAACATTTATTTGTGCATCTCTCAATCATTTGTATTGCATTGCATTATTCAACTTACAATGAAAATAACAGAGCTTTGATCATAAAACTTAACTAAACATTAAAATATTAAAACATATTGGGAGCTATAGAGTGACAACTGACATTGATATGCATTTTATGTATGTGGTTACAAAGATATCAGTAATTTACATTACAAACTATCAGAATTTTTTATTACATTTTCACCAATAACAACAACTGCACCAAATTGCATATTTTTGCTCATTTTAGCCAGGGTTATTATAGTTAAATGAAAAACTAATAGACATTTTCGTTACTTGAAATAAAATAAACATTAACTAAAATAAAATAAAATATACAAAAGCCTATTTCAGCCATTTGCTGGAAATATTTCTTATTGTTGTGTAGCTGATGTAGAATAACTAAAAACCAAAATAAAAATATATTAAAAATATAGTACAATTGTCAAAAACAGACAAAATGACTCAAATTTAAACTAAAGTTAAATTGAAAACAAAACCTAAAAATGAAAGCTATTTCAAAATTTTAATAAAAACTAAAATACCATCTAAATGTTACAAAAATGATACTTGCTTGGGTCTCTGAACAAAAGGTAGGTATTTTTTTTCTCCTTGAGTGGGATCTCAAGTATATCACTATATTTTCACAGTATATGGGTCATAAAAGATATATATCAAATACGATACAAAAAAGCAAGGTTTTATATTTTGTCTAAAGGTTTGATAAACTTCCATTACGAAAGAAAACATACTACTATTGAACATGGCTAATATGCCACAGCCGAATATCAAATAGCATACTATGCCATAAACGTAGGCACTTTTGTTGTGGTGTAAGAGTGCATAACTTCGAGTGTGTATTAAATGATTTTGAAAGTGATGTAGCCTACTCTTTTCAGTCTTATTCTACATTAACTATAGATGGCGGTAGTCACTGTTTACGTTTGAGAACAGCATTAACCACAACAAACAAAGAAGTGAAAGCAATGGACAATATATTTTCCCAGCTCGATTCATATTTGTTATATGCATATTTTTATAGATTATATTTAAAAATCGAATAATCTGGCATATAAAACCGATTTGTAATGCACTTGTAAGATTTATTTTAAATTAAACTTTAACTTTTAATTTTCAGTCAAACGTCACTTCCCAACCAGGAAGCGACGGCTGCAAGTAAACAGGACACGTACTCCGGTAATGAGATATTTCTGCTTTTAAATACGCTTATATGAACAACAAACGTTATTAAGAGCACATTCGGTTAACGTGTTTTGCACAGTGCTTTAGACATAAATGTCATAATGTGGGATTTAATGTAATGTATGTTTTCTTACACCTTTACAACTTGCTAACTAATTAGCTAAAGACAACAATCACCGATATGAGCTATAAATATAGTCAGTATTATCTTAAAATACCGGGCAAAAGCAGTTTCAAAGACTAACAACAAAACACGAAAAAGTTTAAAGTTTGTTTTATTTTCATTTTATTATTTGTGCTTTCCATTGATAATACTAAAGTGTGAAACAAACATTATTCACAAAAGCATTTTGGAAATGTTTAGGTTTAAGCAAACTCCAAATATTGTGAAATGCTGCTAAATGATTTTCTTCATTGCTCTTCTTTTATTTCACAGTCATAAATCTGTTTACTTTGCAGGTGGAGATCCCATCAGAGAGTATGAAAACTGACTGACACTGATACACCATGGAAAAGTTCGGTATGAGCTTTGGTGGAGGCCCAGGCAAGAAGGAGCTGCTAGAAACCATCGAAGTGCAGAAGAAACAGCTTGTGAAGTATCAGACGCGCTTTAAAGATGTTGTCAGAGCGTACCAAAGCCTACTCAAGGAAAAAGAGGCCTTGGAAGCCAGCCTGAAGGTGCTGACCATTTCGCAGGAGGTCGATTTAAGCCAGTGTGGTCATAACCTGTCATTTGGTGTAGGTACAGAAAACGCTGAACGACCTTTGCCCTCTGACCTTGGGGATGACCGATCTTCACTTCACAGCGAAGACAGCCTGGATACAGCAGCCTCTGCTGAAACGGCCACTAGCGTGACCAGCAACAGCACTAAAGGAGACCAAATAGAGGAGGACCAAAGCTGTGCTGTAGATGGAGCCACCGCTGGGACTGTCGCAAACGCATTGCCTCAGCAATCTGAGGAGGCAAGTGGGTCTGAAAGTGGCATCAGCAGCAGCAGTAGCAGTGGATGTACGGAGCCGCCACCACCTGCAGCGGACACAGACCGCCGTATCATCCAACTAAAGATGCAGCTCTCCACTCTGACCAGTTCCTTAGCCACCGTCACTCAAGAAAAGTCCAGAATGGAAGCTTCATTCCAGGCAGACAAGCGCAAAATGAAGCAGGAGCTGGAGGAGCTGCAGGCCAGGATGGAGGAAGAGCAGAAGCAGCACCAGCTGGAGCATCAGAGCCTGCTGGAGCAGCTGGCGGAGAGCAAAGCCCGTGTCATAACCCAGCAACACGAACGGGAGCAGGAGCAGGGCGATCATGTGCTCATGCTCCGAGAGCTCCAGAAACTCCTGCAGGAGGAGAGGGGACTGAGACAGGATGCCGAACTCAAACTGGAGGATTCGCGAGAGGCGTTGGCTGAAGCCATGCAGGTGGCAGACCGAGGGATAGATTATGAAACGCAGCTGAAAGAAATCACTCAAGAACGGGAGGAGCTGAGGAAAAGCCTGAAGGCTGCAGCAGCGGAGAAGAGCAAACCTGATCCACGTGTCGAGGAGCTCCAGCAAGAGATTGCAGAGCTCAAAGCTCACTTCAACCAGCAGCTTCAGCAGGAAATCAGAAAGGTATGTTTTGAATTGGGGTTGGGCGATGTCTACAAAATTGGCATCGGACGATGTCTACAGTGAAACATCGCGATGGACGATGACATCGGGGGGGTTAGGGGGTGTGCCCAAAGCGTGAATCCCTATTCAGAAAGGCACAGAAACCAAATAAGGATTGCTAACGGTTGCCTGTTAAATTACAGTAGCTACATAAAATTTCACTTTCTGTTTATTTCTGTATATTAGAAATGACTGAGGACGATGACGAATGATTTGCAAAATGTGTGGTAAGTACTGCCGCTAAACAGAGTACGTTACGTGCGATCGCGAATCTCCAAAGTGAAAGTGAAACTAAAAAGAGATTGTGCATTCAAAAGCAGTTTCAATGCCAGGCATAATAGCAGCTAACTCTCTCTAACTGCGAGAGAAAATATTGAAATAT